TTTCTCTTTTCCTTTTTCTCTCTTTTGTTTACGTCTCTCCATGTTTAGTGCATTATGTGCTTTTTAACTTTCAATAAAGATGTCTGATATATATATATCTGTCTGCTACAAATGATAGTGGGAAGGAGAAAGAGGAAAAGTGAAAAAGTGGGATGCATCAAGCGGGGGTGAAACTAGGCTTTATTTCACCTGAGTCAAAGACCCAGTTTGACACACACACACACACACACACACACACACACACAGCCTGGGAGCCTCAGTGGCGCCCCTCTGAATGCTTCACCTGGGCAGTAAACTCAGCTAGAACCCCACCCTCCATAGCTATGGCACTGCATCAAGAAGGTATTTATGTTCTTTCAAGGCATGCGAGGAATGGAGATCAAATATCTGCCAGCTGTTGTGTGGGTTTCTGTATGTTATCTGTTGCTAGTTCAGAGAATTGTGCAAGGCAGGTCTGGATTGTCAGGGTGAGTCAAGATTTCCGTGTCCCCACAGCTATATTTCCACTTAGCCATTTTTATATGCAGTGCCCCAGATCAAGTCCCCGTATGCTATTAAAAAACATAAAAATGAATGAGAAAGTCTCCTCCCCTTGGTGAGACCCACCGGCCTCCTCTCCACAACAACTGGTCAGTTCAGAGCTTTATTTAAAACCTATTAGAAACAGCAACATTTGTTTTTTTCAAAGATGGCCATTCCAAACCTCAAGATGCTGGCAGTGCAACATGCAAATTATATGCTTAGCTGTGAAATGGCAATACAAATTAGTGGTGCCCTCTTTGACTGAGGTCACAAGATATAGTGTGCCCTGGGTACCATTTGCAAATGATTACTCCAGCATCTAATTCTGAGCTATATATTGTGATTATCTGCTCTGCAAGTGTGCTGCGTATTCAGAGGCTCGGACCCTGAGGCTTGGGGAAGAAGCCTGGGAGTTAGGGGATGGTCAGGGGTAGAGTTTTGCGACATGTGGTGGAGCGGGCCCATTGAAGGGCATCATTTGGGTCAAGGCAAAAGTCTGGCTGCACCTGGTCAGTCAGAAGGAACCAGAGGCACATGGAGGGGGAGAGTCAGAACGAATAGCAAAAGTTCTCAAGCGAAGCAGAAAACGTTTGTTTCCCTAGGTGTCATCACCTTGCCATCCCATTTAGTCCTTTGTTGGAAAAGGAGGCTAAAATCACAAGACCTATCAACCCCATTGGGCCACAGTGCCTTAAAATGAATGAATGAATGAATGTCTTTCTTGAAATTATGTGTGGGGCCTAATGAAAATGTTAGCAAGATCAACACTTTCATTGCATGAGGAGCTCATAAGTAGACCATTCTTACATGATGATGTTGCCGCAGTATAAATTAACAATTCTGTGCCTCTTGGTTCCAGTAAGTGAACTTAGAATAGTCTGGCATATAGAAACATGGTAGCTCATTTGGTTTAAGAATGAGTATTCATACCTAAGTGTTTATTAGTCCATTGTCTCGTCTGCATTGTCCTCTGGTCCTCCCTCTAAGAAGCATCAGGCAAATGCTAGAATATAAAATATCGAGATACAAATATTTCCCAAAAGGTTATTAAAATATTTCTTTCTGATATCACAGGAAGCTTCTGAGTTTTTTTAGCACCAATTTACCTGTAAAGTTTACATAACAAAACCAATCTGATGTGTTTAGCATTTTCCAAATTATTCAAATTAGCACTTCCTGATAGTACTTTAGGGACTTAACTTGCTTCTGTCTCCAGTTTGTTTACATGTCCTAATGATTAACTAGAGGATGAAATAAATGTAACATATTTCATGAAAACAAAACAGGAAATCTAGAATAGTTAATATCCATTGATATAACTGCCACATATAACATTTTCCTAAATTAAAAAGGGCACTAAGAATTACCATATTTTCCCATGTATTTGACGATGCTTCTTGCTATTAAAAAAAAAGCAAAAATTGGGTGTCGTCTTATACACAGATAGTGAATGCAGAGGGGGGGACGTGCGATTAATGGCAGCAGCAAGCAGGAGATTGGCAGTGGTGATTGGTGGCTGCGGCAAGGCCTGCTGGCGATTGGCTGTGGCTGCGGCAATTGGGCAGGTGATTGGCGGCTGCAGCAAGTGGGCGGGTGGGCTGTTGGTCGCGGCGAGTGGGCAGACAATTGGCAGCTGGGGCAAGGTATGTGATCGGCAGTGGCTGTGGCAAGCGATCGGCAGTGGTGGGCAGGAAGTGACCTCCCCCAACCCCCCCAAAAGCTAAACAACTTAATTTCTTAATTTTGGGTTTTTTAAAAATAGGGGTGGTCTTATACATGGGGATGTCTTCTACACAGAAAAATATGGTATTTATGTTCATATGTGTCTTGTCATTTAGTTTAAAAAGATCTGGATTTTATCCAGAGTTCTGGAGGGGGTGTGTGTGTGTGTGTGTGTGTGTGCGCGCGTGCATATATATATGGGGGGGGGGAGAGAGAGAACCATGATGTGTTCATAGCCACTTCTCAGTTATAGATGATGCTTCACGCCAGATGAGTATTTGGCAATGGGGGCTGTTATGATTACAGATGGAAAATGTTATTTAACACCTTAATTAAGCATGCTTGTTATTTATATTGAATTGCAAAGGCGATACATTGTTTTGTGGGGAAAGACAATGATTTGCCCTCTTCAGTTTATATTAGAAGTTTATATTAGCAGTGTTTTAAATTTCAGACAAAACCCACCAATGATATTATGAGGTTGCATGGAGGTTAATGTAATTTAGGCAGATGGAGAATCACAGATTCAACTTGTTGTCACAGTAATGAATGTGTTTGAAAGGCTATTCCTGTGGCAAACAGAAGAAAAATGAAACAGAGCATACACGTGTATGCACACACACAAATTTAGTATTACTAGCCACAGCTTTGATATATTAAAAAAGGTGGACGTATTTGAATTGTTTTCACCAATCAATGTGAGAAGCAGCGCTATAGATTTCTCCCCCAAAATGCACCTTTAATACTGATTTGCCATAATTTTGCCTGACAGTAATGACAGAGCATTTGATCCAAGACGGGCAGAATTTTATAGCTCTATTAAATATGACTTCTCCATCTCCCCCTGTACAGGCATACATTTTCTCCCTTCCACAGTAGACATACAACAGCGCTTAAAATAAATCCAGTTCTCAAAGAGCGAGAGAATTCAAAGGGGTGAATTTCCCACTTGCTTGACAGGATCTGGTGTTCGTAGCCTCTTGCACCAGGAGTGCTGCTGTCTCCAGCCAGAGGGCTTCCAGGGAGCAGTGATAGGAATGTAAGAAGCCACCTTCTTCTGAGTCAGACCATTGGCTCATCTAGCTCAGTCTTGTCTGCTGGCAGCAGCTCTCCAGGGTCCCAGGCGCTGGTCCCTCTCAGCCCAAACTGGAGATGCCGGCCATTGAACCTGAGACTCTGTGGCCAACGTCCAGTTCTCTGTGAGTGGCTTCCATTTGCTTTGCTTCTTCCTGCACAGTTTGACCTATCCAGCAGATAAACTTGTAAATATTATTAATACATTCAGATTGTTGGAAAATGCCCTGAGGTGCTCCTGCAGCCCCCACTGTCCGAGCGTCCTCCGGAATGCGCAGCTCTGGAAAAGGCATTTCCCCCTTTCTCCAGTGCGCTCAGCGACATATGCCAGATGGTATATGCACACTAGTCTTCTAGCATTACACAGCAAGAAGCGTGAGACATCGCAGAGCTAATCTACGTATTTATTTACACACTATGTACAGACAAAGAATTATAGCGTCCTCTCTCATCAGCTCCGAGAGAGAACAGAGCAAAGTAAAGGCAAAAGTACAATCCAGCAGTACCCACAACAGAAGAGAGATAAGGCCGTCTGCAGGATCGGATGCATGAAATACTAACATCCTCCCCCATTTCAGGTAACCAAGGCTGCATAGGATAATGCAGCAGTAAGTGAAGTAACCATACAGTTGTCATACACATAGTATACCACTGTAGTACCCGTTCCACCTTTGGAACTACCTGCAACTGGAATGGCCTCGTGCCTTGCACTCCTGGCTACCTTTCTTCCATGGGACTAGAGCTCTAGCTCTATTTCTGTCTAAGGAAACAGTGTTGTCTCTTGCAGCCTTTGGGCATGGTTTCTCGTCCTTTGAGGACAAACCCTGTACCACTTGCAAGACCTCAGGATTTGAAACCTGTTTTGAGCTACTAGCCACAGTTATATTTACAACAGCTGTGTTAGCATACTCTCGAGTATACCTAGTGGGTAGCTTACCCTTTGTAGCTCTTTCAGATCTGTGTATGGGACGCAAGTCTTCCAGACTGGGCTTCTCTTCTTTTGGGAGAATAGCGACCCATAGTGAACAGTGATTCCTCCAGTTCTCAGACTGTTCAGATGGTCTGAGCGATGCTTGTGCGCTTTTGAAATTCGCTGTATCAGTGGAACTTCCACCTGCACCTATGTTTTCTTTACAGCAGCTAACGTACATTGCAAAAGATAATGGTGACTAAAAGAAGAAGAAGAAGAGTTTGGATTTGATATCCCGCCTTTCACTCCCTTTAAGGAGTCTCAAAGCGGCTAACATTCTCCTTTCCCTTCCTCCCCCACAACAAACACTCTGTGAGGTGAGTGGGGCTGAGAGACTTCAAAGAAGTGTGACTGGCCCAAGGTCACCCAGCAGCTGCATGTGGAGGAGCGGAGACGCGAACCCGGTTCCCCAGATTACGAGACTACCGCTCTTAACCACTACACCACACTGGTAACAATGGCTATCAGATGAGTAGTCAAAAGTGCATAAATCTTCTACTCTTTAATTAAACCTCATCTCCGGTAAGGACTGTGCCCTAGATTAAATGTGTCCTGGTCAACAGGTGCCACCCCATTCCCTGCACATGTGGAGGATACGTGCATTAATGTATGTGTGAACAGAATTACATACCCACTGCCAAAGATGTGTTCTTAGTAAGTGCTTCTGAATCTTTCCACACAGTTCTTCTGTATAATGTAGTCCCATAAAAAGGGATAGCTCAGTCAGTGGAGCATGAGACTATTGATCTCAGGGCTGTGGCTTTGAGCCCCATGTTGGACAAAAGACTCCTGCATTGCAGGGGGCTGGACTAGAGGACCCTTGTGGTCCCTTCCAACTCTATGATTCTATGAAAGCAATTATTGGCTTTTAGAAAGCTCTTACTTTTATTCTTTTTCTACCAAGGCTGTTTAAGCAACGTAAGTGCACTCTTTTGTGACAATATCATACCAGAAAGATTACACCAATTATTTTTACTTTTCCGTTATTAAAAAACAACAAACAAGCCATTTGAGTGACTTTCGGTGAATTAGGAGTACCCTTTTGGAGATCCCAGCTAAAATATTGCTTTGGATACAGCCATGCAGGTAATTGCTTTGTTGAAGCTCTCGTAATTGTGATGCAGAAAACACTCTGGGAACAATGCATACCCTTTGGCATGTTGGGGAAAATAACTGGTACTATTTCTTCAGCACCTTGTCAGCTTTGCCTCTTAGAGGGTCATTTTCTTAGCCTGGAATTGGTGCTGCCCTCCTTTTTCTGCAGTTAGAATGCCATACTCCCCCTCCGCAAGCTGCCCACACAGCTTAGGAAAAGGGTTGCGCATGCGCGCTGCCGTCATGCTGCGAAGGCGCATCCTTGTTCTCAGCCTGTAGTTTGCAGCCTGCCAGAGGAGGGAGAATGAGGCAAGCAAGTGGCACAATGCTGAAGTGTCAAAAACATTCTTGGAGCCCAGTTTCCCCCTCTGCCTTTGCCACAGCTATACTTTTGAATTAAGATTGGTGCAGAGAGCTGATTGGACAGAGAACAGGAGGTTGACAGAAATGCCTCAGCCAATTCAAGGAAGTATAAAATATGTGTGGAAAGAGTGTGTGGCTTTGAGATTCTGAGGAGAACTTTTTAAAATATTGTTTAACATCTTCAGTAGGAGGATTGTGCCACCTCTGCTTATATTGAGTCAGAACCATTGGTACATGCAGCGACAGTTCTGTCTGGCAGCAGATATCCAGGGTTTCAGGCAGGGAGTTTTGTCAGCCCAGCCTGGAGACGCCAGAATTGGAACTTGGGACTCTCTGCATGCAAAGCCTCTAAGCAATGGCCCTTCCACACACACTTCCGTGAGATAGTATTCTTCCCACTCAAACACACAGTCTTTTTCCCAGTTCCTTCGCTTGTCACTGCCTTCCTTTCCCAGAGTCTCCATCATCCTCATGAGCCTTTGATCCTCCAAATGGCCCAAACATCCTTTTTTAAAAATTTCGTGCCGCCTGAAGCTGAATGCTGTACTGCTGCAACTAAAGTAAAAGGAGTGGAATTGGTTCCTGACTCTAATATTATGGTTCTGCTTATGACATGCACTTAGGGGTTCTCAGCAGGCCCAATTCTTTCTTCCCCTAAGTGGCAAGAAAATAATCCTTAAGATTGGTAGACGTTCACAGTGCACTATCCCATGTCCATGCTATACGTCAGCATGAGGGGAAGAAGGAAATCAAGTGGGTTACAAAGGAAAGCATCATAATGGAAGCATCTTTCCCATTTACTGGTACTTTAGGCATAAACACATGTGGTTATTTCTCGTCCACCTTTTCTTCCTTTGAGCAGAAATGTGGGCAGAGCTATACACATTTACGATGTGTTGGATTATTAATAATAATTCTTAGCATGTATATTGTGCTTTATGAGTAATCCTAATAATTTCATTAATATTTCCTTGCCGGTATTATCTCCTTCTTGCAGATGGGGTGAGGGTGGGGGGCTGAAGCTTCAAGACAGAATGGTTTGCTTTCCTTAGGCTGGTGTGTTTGCAATAGGGGTTGAATTGAAACTAGGGAAGAAAGTTTGTTAGCTATGAAAGCAAGCAAGAAAGGTAGGCATATGAAAGAACATAAAATTTCCTCAAAGGGAAGCCATGTTGAAATCTGAGAGCAGGTAAGGTTGGTTATGCATTCAGATCCACTCTGTGATCCACTTTGAACTTTCCACACTCTGAAGACAATCTGAGACGTCTGCTCTTGGTATAAAACAGAATAAAACAAAAAGTTTGGAGAACAGCTTGAAGTTATGTTACCTAGACTTCTTGGCATGTTCTCTTCTACCTGAGCAGTTACAGTGCATATAGAAAATATAGGAAGATAAGATTACATTACAGAAGGTAACTTGTACAATGCTTCTTTTGCTATGAGACATATTGTCAGAGTGAGTTAGGATGGTATTTCTGTTAGTTTAAAAATGAATAGATTTGTCAACTCTTTCACTGCCTCCTCTTTGCAAAAAGCTTCTAAAGTTGAAAATAGATTTTGGGGGAAAAAACATTTCTTCCCTATTTGTCTACAAAGGCTATGGAAGAATATGAATTGACTGGTGAGTTTCACCAGGTATCTTGACATTTGCGTGATCCTTGTGCCTTAGTAGTTGTTTCTGTTGGAGCTGCTCAAGGGCAAAGTGAGGTGTGAGAACGGCAGGACCACCTTGCTTCCTGTTGCACAGATTCCATTCAAGATGGTGGCAGCTGCATTTCTCAGAAGGCAGTATGCCTGACTTGCACACCATTGCTTCAGGAATTAAAGCAATGGGGTGGTTTCCTATGGCTGTCCTTCATGCTGTTTTCTACTTTGGGTAGACGAGGTTCTGGATACCGTATGACAATTCCTGCATCATTACTTTGAGGTCACCATAGCCCATGTTTCAAGGACTTCAACACTAATAAGCTCAGCAAGTGTAGCGGGAATTCAACTTGTCATGCATTATCTTAAATAAGTAACAGAAATTTAATATGAGCAGATTGAAAAACTGCTGGTTTTTCTGACCAGGGACGTGGTATTCCTCCTGTTCTGGATGGGGTGGCACTTCCTCTCAAGGTCCAGACATGCAGTCTGGTCTGGAGTTCTGCAGTGTTTTTAATATGTTGGAAGCTGGCCAGAGTGGCCGGGGCAACCTAGCCAGATGGGTAGGGTATTTATCCTCATCATCTCTCCCTGCCTTTGGTAGTCTGAGTTGCATCCATGGCAAAATGTTTCGGAAGCATAGGCTGGGGTGCCAACTGCAGCCCAGCCTTGCCTAAAGGCAGCCTGCTCACAATTCACTGGCAACCCATTGTGAATACAGGGTGCTTCTTCTGAAGAGTGATCAAAAAATTCTGTTGGTATAAAATGCAGTAACTATGTTGTTTGTAACATATTTCACCATTCTAAAAAGCACTGTCCTTTTCCTGGTCCATTTCTGGGCACAATTCAAGGGGCTGGTTTTAATCTTTAGAGCCCTAAATGTTTTGAGACCTGAGCACCTAAAATGACTACTTTCTACCAGCCTCTGCTTTGTCCCCCTCCCTTCAGTGGCAGGGAGGGTGGTGACCCAGTATAGGGTCTTTTCGCTTGTGGTGCCCTAAGACAGATTTGTATCGTGTCATCTGATGTCTCTTTGGCCCCAGGTGAAGACCTTTTTATTCACTCAAGCATTGTCAGTGCATTGTGTCTGTTTAGATTCCTGTTTTAAACCAGTATGTTCATAACATAATGCACTGTTCTGATCATTGTGTTAACATTTTTAAAAGGCTCTTCGTCACTCTGGGCTCGTCCACACTTTCCCCTGGGGAATCCTGCTGTTTACAGCTGAATAGGAACAACCATCACTCAGAATTTCTCTGAACTGATGTTTGCTCCGATTTAGCAATAAAACTGCTTGGACCCATGCCTACAAAGCATGCGACAAGCAGAAAACTGCTAGGACACATACTTTCTTGGCACAGGACAAGCGGAAGTGTGGATGAACTCTCTGTCTGCCTTTGTGCTGAAAAGCAGGATATAAATTCCTCGGAAATAAGAAGTAAAGTAGATAAAACAAGGTCAGACTAGGTGCATCCAGAACTTGTGGGAAATTAGACATGATTTTCACCGCTCAGCAGCTTCAAGAAAAATGCAGAGTGCAAAACCAACCGCTGTATATGGTGTAATGATGGTGGTCAACAAAAGGGATTTAAAGGATATCTCTAGGCAAATCTTTTAAAAGTAACACAAACACCGACAACTGGGAAACACTGGCCTGCAAGCACTCCAATTGGAGAACAGCCTTTCCCAAAGGTGTCGTGGACTATGAAGATGCTCGAACTCAGGACGAAACATGCTGAGAGGAAGGCACACTTGGCAAACCCTCACCGTGATCAACTCCCACCCGGAAACCTATGTCTCCACTTTGGAAGAATGTGTGGATCCAGAATTGGCCTCCACAGTCACTTACGGCTCACTGTTAAGACTGTGTTCATGGAAGACAATCTTACTTGGCTACACGTGATCACCAAAGAAGAAAGAAGAAGACGAAGCTATGTGAGAATATGCTGCTCAGGAAATGAGAGGATTCCTGCTGAGCACAATCAAGTCCTCATGAACCCTCCAAGCCTGAGGGAATCATTGGATCGTGGCCTTACTCATCTACCTGATTGTTCCTTGCAGGGTGTCCATCAGGTGAGAAACAGAAGTGCCTCTTGTTCACATCTTGAAACTGAGACATGAAAGGCAACTTAAATGAAAGGGCACTGACAGCCCCTTCTAAAGTGTGACAGCTAAAGTTGGTTTTATTTTGTTCCTTAGATGTGCTGTCAACATTCTATAAATTGTCATATCCCGATTTTAGAAATTGCCCGCTATATGCTGCATGTGCACTGATGTGGTGGCATTTATGTATTTATGGAGAATGCTTTTGCCTTCCCTTCTTCATGCAACCTCAGGGCAGGTCAAAGCATAAAATAGGCCAATGAGATAGGTAATGACTTAAATAAAACTGGGCATTAAATAACACAGTTCCTCACTGTGACAACAGACTAAGGCTGTGTACACCTTACCAGCTTAAAACACAGCTAGGTCAATGTGGGAAGACTAGCTGGGGAGCTGGGGAGGCCTGGAGGTCCTCTAGTGTGGCAGTGCTTGCACCAGAAAACCATTTCAGATTGACTGGGAAGACTGTTTGCCCATCAGTGGTAGAGGGCAGATTGCAGCCATGAGGCTCTGTAATAGGCCTTCTGATGTAACAGAAGACACAGGATTTTGAACTATAACAGTTCCTTTTTTATA